TTTAATTGCTATTTCTACTTCTTTTTGATTTTACCATTTTTTTCCATACATTTTATTGTTGCTATTTATTTCAATATTATTTCATTTTATTTTTTGTTATCTAATTTACAAAAAATATTTGTTTTTTATTGTTAATTGCACAATAATATTTTTACAACAAGTCAACAACAAAGAATATGGGTAAATATTAGAAGAGCAAAATATGTTAACCACAAATACACTATACCATATATTAGTATTATGCATATATGCACATATCGTCACCTTAAATGCAAACGTATCATCAAAACAAATTGAAAATCGTTATCAGATATAATAACCAATATATAATCGAAACTGATATTATACATATATTAGTTTATGATAACCAATATATAACCATTTTCTAACCAAAACTCAAGTTTTGCTTCAATATGAGTGGCTTCTACTATATCGTTTTTCCTTCACTTATTAACTTACGAAAAGTGATGTTACGTTATCTGGTATTTTGGGCGACGACATGTTTTTATGTACATCTGTATGCTACTTTTATGAATAAACGAGTACATAGTTCCGTTATATAAGCCATAAAATTTTATGTTCACACTGAAATTGTGTATGTACACGTAATTGACGTTAGACAAGCATACCCTGCGAGAAACGCAATAAGAAATGTGAAATACAACTCTGTGTTTTATGTTATGCTAACTTTTGATTAACTTTCAAATTTTTAAAGCGAAATTTCAACCGAAAAGTTCTTTCAAGCTTGGGTAGTACAAATATTTTTTTTTTTCATGTAATTTTTCTGCGAACATCAACTCAAGATTTAGGCTTTTTGACCACTGCAGCATCTTCCAAGTGGAGCTAGCTATCTTAATGGTAGCAGTAGATCACTTGCTCCAGCGCGCAGTCTTTTTCAGAATGGTAACTATCCACTCCGATAGTAGGGCAGCGATTTAAGCCTTGAGTTCGCTGACTGTGCGCTCAAGACTGTTGAACGGTTGTCTAGACTTTTTATCTCTAGCAACTTGATGAACTTGTTAGGAATATACCTCAAGCTTTCTGTGGCTTGCTATTGGACCGCTGGGGCTTAGACCAGCAAAAATATTTAGTTTGGTTATTCTCGAAAGGAAAAGATTAAAAACTAACAAAATATTTAAAATAGACTTTTTTTAATAAGTTAAAAACTGTTATTGAAGACAAATGTACAAAAAAATATATTCACTATAAAAAGTTTCGAAATTCCGCAAGCAAGCGTCACCTTTTTCCCTTTAACCAACTCAAAATTAACAATAATAATTTCAACATTCATATTTGAGACTATTTAGCTCACCAAACTGCGTTATTTATTTACAAACACACTAAATTACGGTAAAAAAGTTAAATTCCCGTTTTGCTCAAAATTTCTCACAGGGTATTGTACGAATGCTATGCACTATGATTATATACGAACATTTGTACATTAAAATATAAAAAATAGCGGAAATTATGATGACTTTATTTCTATTACTTTTATATTTTCCATTTCATTTTCTTTAAATTTTTATGAATTTTTATAGCGCATGCCAAATTATACGTCCATTTATACTATATAGATAAGTAGTTAAAGTCAAATTTTTTACGGTTTGTTTTTTGCTTTAATTGCTTGTTAAACATCGTTTTGTTTTCATTTTAATTAAGTAGTATTTACGTAGTTACTTTCACTCAACATATAATTACGGTATATATTTCGTTTTGTTGAAAAGTCATTGCGCTGACTTCATATTTCCTATTCTAAATGTTAACGTTCGCCACATTGTTACAAGAACTTATAATTGCAGCGTGTCTGCCTCATCCTTTTGAGCCATTTTCCTCAATATAAACATTACCGGGTTGTAATGTTTTTAAGATACGCCGTTCATGATGTTTTGCGGGTTTTTCTGCAAAGAGATGGAGAGTAGAAGAAGAGGTTATATGATGAGAGATAATGTGTATATGCATTTATGGTAAATATAAAGAAATGTATATGCTTTAGTTATTTGGTAATAAGATCTGAATTTGATATTAATATATTTGGGGGATAAATTATCATTACCAAATAACTAAAGCATATATGTATGTACATTTCTTGTATTATTTCTTATGTATGTTCTGTCTTCTTGGTTGGAATACGATATACATTCTTCAGTAACAAGTTTCAGTTAGATGAAGTTTGTTTTGTACTCTTTTTTCTCCTAACGGTTATGAACTAAAAATTTTACTTTAGGGATGGTATAACAGAGATTTATGGAACTCGAGGTAAAAATAGGCGTAGCACCACTACGGAAATGGAATCCCATATCTCGGGAACATACCATATACCATATATGTATAGTGATTTTTGTTTTTCTAACCTTATATCAAATATGTCGGTCAGTGTTTGAGTTGTATGGAGTATATGTATATATAAAATTGCTTGGATTCCGATCTTCTGGTCGACATTTTACACCTTAAGGTATTTCCCTCGTTTTGGTTCTTGCAAGAGTAAAAATGTTTAGTTACACCCGAACTTGGGCCGTATTTACTTGAAATTTTTTATTTGCGTCATGCCCGTAGAGACCCTCTTGAAAAAGTGTATTCCAGATATTGGTGGATATTGCCATTTTATTTCAAAATTTATACACTCAAATATATCTTAAATTATGTATGAAAAAGAGATATTCAACTACTTTAACCCTACTCTGTGAATAAATTGTTAAAGTTAGACCTTTTTGATCACTCTAGATTACCCTAATTCGTTATCAAAGTTATGGTTGAATGTTTCATAGATTATTATAAAAATTTAGGTCTTAGACCAAGTATCCTTTGGGTAGCCAAAAAACTTCCGTTTGAAGGCGAGCTAAACTGAGAAGACGAATCATCCCTCCCAGGGGTTTGGGACTCGCCACGTGAAGAATAGCCGTAACGAACATAACTCAGCTATAACCGAGCAAAAGTTGTCTACGCCAATAAAGAAGAAGATGTAGACTGTATAGAAAAATGAAACGCTAAAGAATATGAAATTTTTGTTATTTCGACAGCCGAGCAAGTGCTGGCGCATTTTTTCTATTATATGAAATTCTACATGCTGATTTAAAATCCTTAAAAAATATTTTGATGAGAAAAGTAGTTCAATTAATTTCATGTTAGAAGTTCCCTCAAATTTTTAGACGTTAAGTTTCTTTAGAATGTTTTGTTCAAAGCCGATACTGAGAAATTACTTTTGTGCACACTCTATGGACTTTCAAAAAACAAGCTTCAAGGTAAAATGTCCGAATTCGAAGAAAAAGCTAACTGCAGAATTTTCTTTGCACATAATTTTTCAAAAAATAATTTATAATTTACTAGAAAAAATATAAAATTTTAGCTCTCAACTGGAAACGCTGGTCTCTTATCATGTTAATATAAATAAAACAACTATTTTTTCCTGAAGTAATGACACCCATTCAAAAGTTGCTCCAACCCATAAAACGTGGCGCATTTGACACATTAACCACAGCAAATTTCATCGCTTCACAATTGTCAAACTCAAGTGACATATGACTGTCACCACAGTTACTGCAAAAAGGTGCAACTAAGAATTTTAATGTCCACTTTCATGATGGTCAAGGAAGACCACGAATTCTGGTGCTTCATATGCGCAAAACCAGAAAAAGAAAATAAAAATGTCAACCAAAAAAGAATTATTTATGCAACAAGTGAAAAAAACTGCATTACTTGTTGACTGTTATTTGTGGCACGTCTGTCAGAATGGGTCGAACGTGATCGGCAACCAAATAAATTGTCTTTTGACGAAAGTAAATTTTTGGGGAAGCAAATTATTGGAAAGAACAATGCAAGAAGAAATGCGCAAAAAATTCGCGGACAATTAAGGCAGACCGAAGGATTACACAGCTGATAATTTCGGGGCGGAAGACATGCAGCACTTATGTCCAACCATTCGTGCAGTCACTCCAAGAGTGTTTAATTTCTTTTGTTATATTTGTTGTTGTTCTTTTCATAAGTTTAATAGCATATTGTTTTCCATTTTTTGTTTGATTATTAAAAAAACTTTTCATTAACATGTTAGCGCGTCAACATTTCAATAAATCACACGTAAGAGCTATTCATATTCACACTTGTGCCTCGAAGAGTAGGGTTCATCAGCGTATTTATTTGCGCACGCTGGAAATAAATTACGAAACTCTTAACAATATTGCCTGAAAGGAGTTTACATATTTATTGAAAGTTTTTTGTTTATTTTTTACTTTAATATTTTGTTTCTGTTTTAGTTTGAATAACATTCAATCACACTGTGGCTGAGTGATTGGGAGAAAATTGAGCCAAGAAGATATAAATAGGCTGAAGCTTGAAGACTTGCGCCTCTTATGAGCAGTTCTCGCCGCCCAGTCAGTAGTGGCGCATAAATGGATGTGTCTGGCGACGCGTCTCGTATGGCAGCCACACATCATAATTGTCACTCAATACCACGTCGATATTTATTTATAAATTCCTTTAATATATTTGAGTCGTAAAAAGTTGTTTGACTTTTGGGTTTTGAATGCTTTTTTAATACTTTTTCAAAAACATTCCTGTTCGGCACACATTTCTATGCAAATTTTCACACTTTCCATGTCGCCAACTTCGTCGTCTCAAATTGCAGGCGTAGCTCGTGCTTGAAGGGAGCATATACGAGCCACTCACATAAAGAAAGTGCACACACTTTAGTATTACAATAACAATTTGAGACAAAAGACATACCAGAAAGGTTGTCAAATGCGGAACAGCGGGTATTCTGTAACTAATGTCACTCATAAAATAAACAGCAGAAACAATTAATTTCGACAGACGATTTTACTCGTACTTCATACACGCCTGCCCCTTAAACGGTCATGGTACAGCAAAACACAAAAAAAAACAAAAAAATATACAATAACAATGTAGTCTTCTTCAAATAATCCGCGTCTCATTGGTTAAACCAAATAGCGCCCAAGGGATAGTCAAAAAAATAGAAGTCAAGAGTCAAGCACTTCAGTCGTTTTTCATTGTCATACTCAAGTGGCGTGTAAATTACTTTTGTATCCTCTATGTCATGCTGATGGCGAGAGAGAGCGGTATAGTTGTAAACTACCTGTTTACCGCACAAACATGTGTGTGTCGAATTTTACATTTTTGAAAACCATGTTTTGCAAAATTATCGATTGTGCGATAAATGACTTCGTTCTTCACTTTAACTTATTGCCTTTTTAATTTATTGAAGAAGGTTTTCGAAAATATTCGAAATTTCGTGGGCGCCTCTATTGAAAGGTGTTATTTTACTATTTTGTGTAACTCGGACTGACGTATGGCCATTTTACGTCGGGATCCTAATTTAAAAGCATACAAAATACAGGTTGTGCAAGAATTGAAGCAGCTCGACCTTTCCAAGCAACATTGCTTCACCCTATGGGCTACTGAAAAGTTTTAAGACACCCGCATAACCTCAAGACATTCAGGAGCTGCCATTTCATAAAAAAAAACAACGTTTTCCATATTTCTTCAAACATGATGCCGGTGAGAACGTATTCATCAAAGACAACCGTTATCGTGCCATGATAACCGACTATTTGCTGCCTGAAATTGTAGCTTGTGATATCGGCGACATTTGGTTTCAACAAGACGGCATCAGTTCCCACACATCGCATCAATCAATGGATTTATTGAGTGAGCACTTTGCTGAGCAGATAATTTCATGTCTTGGGCAGGTCAATTAGTGTGACTGCTGCACTTTTTCCTAAGGGGGTATGTAAAGTCTAAAGTCTATGCTGATAATCTCGGTTCAATTCAGGCTTTGGAGGAGAACATCATTCGTCAGTTACTAGTCGAACAAGTTGTCTAAAATTGGACTCAACTCAGAGCTGCGCCGGCATTTGAAAGAGTTAATCTTGAAAAAATAAATGCCAAAGAATGTTCTTCGCAATGATAATAAACATTCCCCATTAAAAATTAGAGAAACTTAAAATGGTTCTCCCTTTGCATTAAATGTATTGTTAGAGTCAATAGTGGTATAATTTTGGAAAACCAAAGAATGTAGTTAAAATATAATTAGTCCGTTTTTTAGCTATCATTTGAATAACTATCTTCTCACGAATTTGACATTAATTGTGATCTCACGCTGCTTCTAAACTTGCATTAAAATTTTATACGAAAAGACTCTATATCGTATTAAATGTCAAAAACTAAACGTGATTTGTGTAAAATAAGGAAATTATAACTCGACTTAAATTCTACTAAGTCCACTTACCCGGTAAAAGCACATGTTGCGGCTGGAAATTCGTTGATACACCCAATGCATCGGCATTGCCAATAAAGAATGTGCCACCCTCCATACTCTGTACTTCAGCCAATTTCGCCATTAATTTTGTAGATAATTCTTCAACATCTAAAATAAAGATGAGAAAAGAATTAAAAATACGAAAATAGTAGAAGAGTTTGTAAAGAGGTAACCAAATAATAAGCTTAATACCAATAGCCTTTTCACAAACAACTTTCCACACTTTTCTTGACAAATTATACTCTCACTACAAACCTAATAAATCAGAGGAAACTAATGCTTTGCTTTCGGTACATCACTCCAATCCAAATTGCACTGTTGCTGGTAAAAACATAGAAAGATGAGAGTTGTCCAACACTTCACTACGCGTTACATAGAATTTTCTGTCAAAGCAAATATCTGAAGCAAAGCAAAGCAAAAATTGTATGTGAAACAGCCATTACCTTTCTAACTTTAATTCAAGTACTTCTTGGTAGATTAGAGAAAAATAAGTTTTATAACTGTGTCACTAAAAATTCCCATTAGTCCCCTGAGTTGTCAGGGAAGTTGGGATTTTATTTTGATATAAAATAATTATTTTATTCCGACGCAGACTCACATGCCGATTATGGGAATTTTTTTTTTTGCTAGAAAAATTCTATTCATACTTCCAGTTTCGCACTGTGCTCATAGCCCAGTGTGTATTTAATTTAATTTAATTTAAATTATATAAAATAAATTAAAATAAAGGCGCACAATAAAAAATTTATAACTTTTGCATTAAATTCAGAGGCAAACGAAAAATATTTTGTACATGAGTATCTTACTCTGAAGTCTTCTTCTTCTATAATCCGTATTGCGCAGAGCTTTTTCGTTAAATGTTTATTTTTCTTGATTCTTCTTCTGCTTTTATGTCTAACTTGCGTCGAAATGTAAACAATTCGTTGAAAAAGAGTACATTAAAATAGCCAGAACTCAGTGAAAATAAATTATTTAAAAAATTTATTATATTCGCTGGTTTGTTTTTCAATTTTTTGACGCAGCAATTTGTTTACGCTAAGAATTCTTTGTTAGGTGAGGACTGAAAGAAAACAGTAACCGCAGATACATGCGAGCTGACCCAGTAGATGAGAGATGGGCGCCGAGTGGGTGTGTCGTTGCTATTAGTATTTGGCACACGTATCTGGTTAATACCGTGCAATGCAAATATTTTCATTAATTTCGGAGAAAAGTGCAGGAAGTGGAAGTAGAGAAAAATTGCGAAAGTTTTGCAAATTTGTATACAGAGTAGGCGAATTAGTAAGTGATTTAATGTAAAATAAATCGAAACACAATTCAAACTGCAAAACAGTGTCTTTATCTTTCTTAGAAAACCAAAAATAGCTGAAAATAAATTATAAAATTTGATTGCCTTCAATCGAAAAATTTTTTTGGCGCAATGCAAATTGTAAAAAATAAAACTTTCATAAAATTTCCAAAACTAAGAAAGAAAGTTTTGGTAAACTAATATTTATTTAATTTCAAATTCGAAAGACATCAGAAGAGCTGCAATTATCGAATGACTACTCTTCACTGCTAAAAAATTTTTTTTTTAATTTTGGAGGTTTTGGCTTTACTTTGGTCGGTAACTTCAACTTTCGACAAAGATTATAAAATAAATTGTTATCATTTATTCTTTTTAATAATGTTTTACGGTTAGATTTGAGATATTGGTTAGTCGAGCTAGACATTTTTATGTCATTATAAACTGTTCTAATGACAGTCGGATTTATTTGCAAAGGAACAGATGCGGTTATATATTATTTAATGTTTGGTACATAACATATCATATATACGAATTAAGAGGTTTTAAACCAGCTTGAAAGACCTTCGAGATATCCCGTTCCCACGACAGTCGGGTCTACGAAAACCGGAACGGACCCGGATTTTTATTCGGCCAAGGATTGTCAACTCGGCAGAATTCTGCCGTTACAACAACAACAACAACCTTCGAGATATCATTGAAGGTATGCCTCCTTCTAGGCGACCTTCTACCTCTTCAACTGATGAAAATATTAAAAAAGTGAAAGATATGTTGTTTGAAAACCGTCAGGCAAATGTTAGAGAGGTTTCAAGAGAACTCGACATCTCTGGGGAGTCCGTTCGAATGATTTTTGTTTACGAAACGCGTACTTGATCGCCTCGTCCCCAAAATGCTGAATTATCTTCGAAAAGAGTACCGTAAACAGATCTCTTTGGACATGCTTGATCGTGCGACTTCTGATCCCACATTCATGGAGAGCATTATAACTTTTGATAAGACTTGGGTTTATGAGTTTGACATGCAAACAAGAAAAAAATCATGATAATGGAACCCATTTTCAGTCGATCGAAGTGATAAAACAGTATTCCATTAAAGAGCTGAAGGCCATCGCAAAAAGTTTTTATGAAAAGTGGCACTTTGAAGGCGACAAAATAAAAGTTCATAAATATTTTGCGTCTTATTTAGGTACTTTTTTTTGTCAAAATTGTTGTTTGTTAGGTAATGGGCTGTCCCTTCGACTTTGATAATAATTTCGATTTTTAAGCCACCCTGGAGTGTAAATATTTTCACCAAAACGAGTTTTTTGGAAATCCGCAATATCATCCATTTTAAGTAGTCTTTCCATCAGTCGGTGTGTTCATCTTAGGTATATTTGCTTTATTGCGATATTTGCTTTTTGCCTTACATACTACCGTGGGCAAACAAATAATTAGACTTTTTAATTTAAATTTCGCGCGAAAACGCCTGTTTTTCTAAAGTACATAAATTGCATTCGGCGATGTTCATGGTAAAGTTGTTTTCAGTCCTTTCTTGGGCACTTGGATAACTTTGAGAACATATCGTAAAAACAGAGTTAAGAGTCAGGTAGTAAAGCAAGTTTCCACCAGTTTAGTACTAGTTTAGCACTAGTATCAAAACAGATTATGACAAATAATGCTGATTCAAGAAGTTATGGTCGATCTTTAAAACGTTTTTCTTTGAATAAATAGACAGCATTTGATTTGACTATTGAGGAAAGCAGAAAAGTTTCCATCTTGAAAACGATGCAACTTATAAACATTATATGAACTATACATACATATATACATTCCCTTATGTATGTACATATATTACAATAGGTGCTCGGCGCGTGCTACAGCTGCTTTGCATTTCCCAACACATTAGAACATTCTTATACATAATACTCGTATTTCTAATTTCTGATGGGCAATAATTTCACTCTCGACAATTTCCGCCTCCAACTCTTGGCTAATAGCAGAGCAAAGCAGGCAAGCGAGACGAAGGCCCATTCAAGAAAGTTTTCTAAGCAACGCGCTGTTGTTTCGAAAGTACATGCACACAGATACATGTGAGTATATGCATACATCAAGATATAAAGGTATATAGTATATATATATATATATGTATGTACAAGTATATTTTGTTGGGATTATTTTTGCAAGGTTTTGCCTTTGAAATTCGTACGAAACTTTCACTTTATTTGTTTATTTGTTTTTTCATTCCGGTTAGAACTGAAAATGTATTCCGCAACATTGGAAAAGTAAATATTTTTATGCACACGAACATTGATATTGATGATCATATGTTGTTCGTGCACATGCCCTTCATATTTGTTTTTCTATGAAGTTTTTTCTAAAATAATTCGATACTCATTTTTTGAAATGTGTTGCTATGAACGAAAAATAGTAGGACTTTGTTCTCGATTTTAAAATTCTTATTCTTCAAAATGTATATGGTCACTCACAAAGTAATCTCCCTTGACCTCAATACTCTGGTGACTACGGGTTTTCCAATGCATGAAACAGTTGTTATATTCAATTTCCGGACTATCCTTCAAATCGCGTAGCGCTTCACGTTTAATGTCTTCAATTAACACAAAATTGTCTCCCCAGAGCAAGTTGATCACCAGTGTTGATGGTTGTCCTGGACGTGGTGCGTCGTTAACGCGCTCTCGACACTCTTTGAACAATTTGTACCAATCAAAAACACTTGCTCGCGGCAAACAATTATCACCGATGATCTTTTCCAAAATTCTAAATGTTTTGCCATCAGAAATTTTATTCCGAAATTTCAATTGAAAAGTTTTACTAATTCTTCCCCACAGTGGGCCTCCCATATTTTTTAATTATCAAGAGTTAAAATTGTATTGCATCAAAGTTTAGTATAATCTTAACTGCCAAAATGGACAGTGTTTTTTTAATTAGCACCCATCCTGGTATTTCGTCTGTATTTTCTTCTTCGGATTGTTCTGAAATTTGGCAATTTTTTATGAAATCACAAAACAAAATTTCTCAAGTGTCAACTTTACTCAGTAAACATTTCGCAAAATGTAAACAGGATGCATCGAAGAGACGAGAAAATATAAACAAAATAAAAATTTATAGCACATAAATATTTAAAAATATACCAAAAGTGTGATGTCATGATAAATGAGTTTTCCCTGAGCTTTCCGTTGAAAAATGTGTTCAGTTATAGTTTTTGTATTATAGTATTTAATTTTAAGTGATTATTTTAAAACCAATTATAATTATGACTTTCTATTCAATACACATTAAACATAAATCTTAAAAGAAGAATATTTTACTCATATTCATTCAAAAGACAAATTCATATTTTATTCAACATAAAAAATAGCGTCCTTATGGGAAGTTGTTGATCATCTGCTTCTGAAACTCAACATATTTTTATTAAAATTTTATTAACAATTTCTGGGTACTTTTTGTCACAATATATAACAAATTTTAGGCTAGTTTACTGTGGTTGACTTTATAAAGCACAAGTGGAATAAATACAAGAGGGCCAGACTTTGCTAACTATAGGCGTTCATATATAGTTGTTCCAGAAAGAGTTCCTTTTAATCACGTTAGCTCTAGGCACAAAAGCTGACATCTGCAACATTTGTGTCATCAATCCATCATGAAAAAAATACAGTTGGCTTTAAAGTGCAAATATTTTGAATTACAAATGCTCGCTGAAGGTCTCGTTCTCATTCTAACCAGCTCGAGAGATTCGAAAGTCCATCAATAAACTTATTAAAATTGTGTATAAAATAACAATACAATTTTAAAACTTCATAAAGTTACCTGAAATGCAAAACTACACATCA